GAGGGTTGGTTCTTTGGTCGATGCTGGTCGTTACGCGAAAAATTGATAAAAGAATTTCTTGTTTAATAATAAAACAGGTTTATTTAATTAACATATCACGCTAGATTCTTCTCAACTCTAACACGCAATCCTCTATTCTCGACTACACACCATCTATGTGCCTCGCGCCCTTGCATCCCTATTTAAAGCCAGATCTATCTCATTCTACAGACATTCCTACAAAAAGATTTGCAGCTATCATTTGTTTTTTCCGCGCCAAACACTCGAGTCGAACCCAATCTTATATATACCGTTCTCATCGCCTGATGTTAAGGTTGGGCAATCCTTATCTATTCGTTACACTGGGTCATGTCATGGTCTCAGATAAGATACGAATCGTTGAAAAGAAGCACTCAAACGCAGATATTCTTTCCTTTAGTAATAAAAGACTTTAATCGTTTATAAGATCTAAATTGCGAGAATGTGTGTATAAATATTCGATAAGAATTGGGGGTTTAGGCGAACTGTATCACGTACACTCTTGACACTCGCGAGTCGGTCAGTCTCTCCAGGGAAGCACTCAGAGACAGATACACTTTCCTTGAGTAATCAAAGACTTTGAAAGGCAATCCCTATATATCATAGTTGTTTTACAATTAAAACCCATAATCCCAATACGAATAAACGAAACTCTTAAGTTCAAGTTAAGTTCAAGTTACTTTGCACTCGAGAGGTGGCCGTTAGTCATTAGATAAAATTTCGAAGATCGATATTAATTAATATGTCAAATTTAAGATAATGTAGCGGCGTGCGAGCTGCCGAAATCAAATAATTCTACGTGTTAATTATTATACGATTTTTTATTTATTACTAAAAGAAATATCGCCAGTTTTATAGCAGAAAATCTTTGAACTCCTACTGATCTTCAGAATCTCCAGATCTCCAAAAAATCGTCGAGTGCAAAGGATTAATACCGTTTTATTTTTGGTGGATTGAGGTATTTATAATAGGTTTTGGCAGATGGAAGGGGTTCTTGGTGATGCTGTGTCATACCCTTGACACAAGGGGTGGTTATTTTGTGGTAGCAAAGTTCACTTGAGCTGTGTCAAGGATCTGGGCTATCTTGAGTGTATCATGATGCGTCACTGTGACAACGTCTGAGGATCCTGTATGTTTATTGCGTTTGTAGATTAGGCTACGTTACAGGGAAGTGTGTAGCACGGTGGTTCTTAATCTTGTTGAAGTCACGGGGTATTTTTCCTTTTAAAACAAATTTTCGAATTCTCGAGACCTCTGCAGATTATTAAAAATTATATCTATAGTATGGAGGACTATGACAAAGTAACACTTCCACAAAGACGAAGAACTTCTTTGAATACTTGACTTTCATAGTTTCGTGGAACACTTGTGTCAAACTTATTGATTAAGAACTATTGGTATAAAGTTCCTAGCTTTGTAAGCTGCATATTCGTGGATTTTTATTTAAATTGATCCTGAGCACTCGAGACACGTTTCTGATCACCAATTATAATTATAAAGATTAATTATGAATTTATGGTTATATGAGGATATAAGAAATCTTGCAATATTTGTGACACAATTAATTCTTTATCCTACATGATACTTCATGATAGAAATGCTTCGAGTGTTAGGGTTAAAAATTTTAGAGATCCTAAGCGTTTGAAAGATTCTGGAATCTTCATACAGGAAATTCATTTTAATCCAACATTTCTTCCTTTATTTAGTAATATTTATTTTATTATTTAATTTTTAATAATAAAATAAATATTAATATTTATTTCTTCTATTTAGTAATACCCTTGCTACATGTGTGTTCATTGATTCTTCACCGACAACTGTCAACTGACTCTAACCCTGGCTAAATTCTATATTACCTCATTTCGCTCTAGATACATACCATATTCACTAACTATAATTGGAGACCACAAGGGAGAAACGTTGATAAGCAATTTGGAATCCCGATACGCGAATTATACTATCCTGTCATCGTATTTCATTTGCTTCTGCAAATATATAATTATTATTTTTGTCCCTGTCTCGAATATTTTAAAAATGAAAAAATCATTAACACTTGTTACGTCGATCTTCGATCGATTTCAAATCTCGAAATGGGTTTGTTCTATGATAAAATGGAGAAGCTTATTTAATTCAACCCTTTGCACTCGAGAAGCGCCTCTCAATCGCCATTTAATCAGATTTTAAAGATGGATGTTAATTGATATATCAAATTTACCATTACCCAACGACGCGTGGAATATCGAAGTAAAATAATTCTACGTCTTAATTTGCATACGATTTCTTATTTACCGTTTTAGAAATATCGTCGATTTTATGGCAGAAAGTCTTCGAATTACTATTTTCCTGTAACGAAAACATCGTCGAGTTCAAAGGGTTAACCGTTTGAGTGCCACGGGTCATTATTGTTTCCCAATCGATAGTTGCCAAGCGGCGCGATAGCGCTTGTCATATTCCGTGTCCAAAAATGCCGAGCGGCGCGATAGCGCTTCTCATATTCCGCGTTCACCAACTGAGCGCGCTGATTGTCAGCTTCGCAGCTCAGAGCGCTGGCACTTTTGGACACAAAATAGAAGAAGCGCGATCGCGCCGCTTGGCACTCAAACGGTTAAATTAAATTCAGGGTTCAGGGAAAAATGAAATTTCGAATGAATTTTCTTCTTTTCATCGACGTATCTGGATATTCGAAGCTTTTGGAGGTTCATGGTTCATTTGTTCGAGCTACATATTTTCACTCGCGTTACTGCAGCGGTTAAGAGTACCTCGGATTGATTTACCTCGATATTATCTGTAGAAAAATGGGTTAAAACAGAAGTTGTACGGTTTCGTGGGGAGCGTAAGCTGGATCAAGCGAATTCCTTCTTGCAGAGGCATTTCTCAGAGATTCGAAGGTTAAGTCTGAGTTTCATTCGCGAGTGAAAATTCACGTATTTATTTTTATCGTAATAAGATTCAGGGATCCAGAGAAAGGTATAGAATGTGAGTGTTGGTTTTGTACGAGTGATGCGAATTTTTTCTGCGAAAGTTTTCTGCGAACGAGGTTGAATAAGTGAAACCCATTTGCAATAATATATAAATATTATATATTTAATAACATTATATTTATACATAATATTTATTTATATTTATTTATATATGTAATGTAAATATGTGCAAGTGCAGTCTAGTATGAATGATAGTTGAAAAAATGTTTAGCAGAATGTGCCAGAATAAAACAGTTATGTGAGAATCGTTAAAGAGGAAACATGGGTATGTAACAATTAATAAGAGTGAGAGAGAGAGAGAGAGAGAGAGAGAGAGAGAGAGAGAGAGAGAGAGAGAGAGAGAGAAGAATTTTCTAGAAAGTATCAATTAATTTTTTGTTTAAAATAGTTTATTGCGAGTTGTTTTCATTATTTCAATATTTTTACCTAAATATACTAACGTGTTAACTGTTAAAAAACATAGGAGATATTGGTGTCCATTTTTATCCTCATAGATAAAACCTAACCTAACCTAACCTCACTTGACCTAACTTAAACTAGCTTAATCTAACTTAACCTAACCTAACCTATCCACATAGAAAGAGAATTTCTTACTCAAGTTGGTTTCGTTTGGCAGACTTTTTGATACGTTGACAGTCGGTTTCGTAATCGATAATTCTCTTCCTATTTTTTTCTTTTTTTTTTCCCCCCCCTCTTATCGTGTCACGTAATGTAGTCGACGTTATTTTGAAACTCTTCCTCGCGTATCAATTTAACTTTACAAATATACCTTGTGCACACGATGACGTAAACCCCTCTGACCACGTCTTTTTCATTAAAACTTTCTATAATGAACGTGTCTCCCGGTACTAGTTTAAAAATCAACAGCGAAAAGCATATGTGGGTTTATGTAACGTAACGACGTATGCAATTGTCGAAATGCTTCAATATTTTACATTGAACAACTCGGGAGAGCCAACTATCTGTCTCGAATCGTCGTTTGATGTTTATTATTTACCGTATATCTTCCACTCGTGTATTCACGTCGAAAATCACTTGGGCAAATTGTCCCTCTTTACGGTCATTTTACGTAACTGTGTAATTTAAACAAAGCAGAAGGCTGTACCTCGATGCGTGTATCCATGTCTGGAAATTAACATAAAATTTTGCAAATTTAGAATAGGAAGATGTTTATTCGTTTATTTATATATAAGAGATATATTTATATATCAGCTTATCACTCTTTATGGGTGTATGCTTCGATTAGTTTACGATCCTTGGTAATTTTCTTGCGATCCTTGGTAATTTTCTTGCGATCCTTGGTAATTTTCTTGCGATCCTTGGTAATTTTCTTGCGATCCTTGGTAATTTTCTTGCGATTCTTGGCTACTTTGCCCTTTCAGCTCCTGATCTATCGACAATTTTCTCTTTTTGTATATATTCGCGAATATTGTTAAGGAGTTATAATGCAAAGAAATAGTAGCCAGTGGAAACGGTGGAAAAACTGCATAGATGTTTATTAACCCTTTGTGCCCGACGATTTTTTGGCTAAAGAAGGGTACGAGTTGAAAAATTTTCTGTTATAAAGCTGATGATATTTTTTGAGCAGTAAGAAATCATATAATAATTAATACGTAGAATTATTTAATATCGAGCTTCGAAATTTTATCAAATAGCGACTGAAGGGGGCCTCTCGAGTGCAAAGGGTTAAATGGACGAACAGTTAGAACTGGCTTGTCTGATTAGGGCCAAAAATGGGAGACAAAAGACAAAACGCAGGGAAAGGATTGCCTCCACATCGCTAGGATATAGAGTTTATTTTAATATTTAGTTTTTACTGCAACAATATATTCATATTTTCCTACAGATTAGAGTATCCTAAGTTTTAGAGTCTTCGTGAAAATTTGCTTCAATGAATATCTTATTCGAACTACGATACTTATAATATCGTTATAATGTACCATTATTAGAATGCTATATTAATTAGAATTAATATTTTTAAAACGATGTTCTTGTTTTCAGGTGAACGAGAGTCAGATGAATCAAGCGAATATATATTAGACAAGATGGGGAACATTGACATATTCAGGACTCTACTCTGGATGATGAAGTCAGAAATAGGTGAGAAAAGTTTGCTATACGCTCTATATAAACTAATTTTATCCAGTCGAACGATTGGAACTTCCAGCAGCAATATCGCGTGTCAATGATTTTCAAAATTTTCACCGGCGAATAATTCTCTGGCAGTGTTGCACAGCTTCCTTATAGGCTTCCTAGACTTCAAATGGAATTCTAATTTGGATCAAAAGATTTCTAAGGAATCCATTTCGCATCTACAACATCCTTCAACATCATTTTAACGCAACTTCGCGATGAATAGATCACCAAACCTTGCATTTCCATTTTATGGAAATTTTTTTTTGTTCAAGTGTTCAGTGTTCAGAGGCTGCTCATCGACTCTTTCTTATCGTTTGAGACCTGATAAACTCAGATATCGTTATCACGAGCTTCAACAGCACTCATAAACCTAGCAAAACAGCATGAAATCGAGCTTTACTTACGATTAGTATCAATGGATCATCAAAATATCCACGTCACTCCAAAAACATCTGGTTTTCTAGCCTTAGAGACCTAATCACGTCAGTCATCGTCATTAGAAGCTTTAGCAGGACTCATAAATCTAGAAAAACAGCTCCAAATTGAATTCTACTTAATAACAATGCATCATCGAAATATCCATGTCACTCTAACCTCAGTGGAGCATTCTGTTTTCAATCCTTAGAGATCTAGTCACGTCAGCCATCGTCATCAGTAGCTTTAGTAGGACTCGTACATCTAGCAAAACAGGTCCAAATTGAATTCTGCTTACGATTATTATCAATGGATGACCAGAACACCCATGTCACTCGAACCTTAGTGGAACATCCTGTTTTCAATCTTTGGGGACCTAATCACGTCAGCCATCATCATCAGAAGCTTTAATAGGACTCGTACACCTAGCAAAACAGCTCCAAATTGAATTCTGCTTACGATTATTATCAATGGATGACCAGAACACCCATGTCACTCGAACCTTAGTGGAACATCCTGTTTTCAATCTTTGGGGACCTAATCACGTCAGCCATCGTCATCAGAAGCATTAATAGTACTCGTAGACCTAGCAAAACAGCTCCAAATTGAATTCTGCTTACGATTATTATCAATGGATCACCAGAACACCCATGTCACTTCAGTCTTAGTGGAACATCCTGTTTTGAATCTTTAGGGACCCAATTACGTCAGTCATCGTGATCAGAAGCTTGAACAGAACTCTTGTTTTCAATCCTTAGTGACCTAATCGCGTCAGCCATCGTCATCAGAAGCTTCAACGCGACTCATAGACCTGGCAACACAGTTCTAAATTGAATTCTACTTAGCAACAAAGCATCGCTGAAACATCCATGCCACTCGAACCTCAGTGAAACATCCTGTTCCCAATCGTTACAGACCTGATCACCTCACAAGCCACGTTCGCCACCACTCCTGCAACAAAACTCGCGATTAGCATGGCAAAACAGCTGGAAATCGAGTTCTACTTCTACCGGGACCCAGCCTGGATTACCAGACTAGAGATTATCATCGGAGCATCAGATGCATTCGCGGCGACCTGACACGGACTCTTCCAAATAGAGTGATACTCGCGCGATCGGGAATGACCGCACGCGTGCCGCTTAGGTCGCCACAGAAACGCGATCACGGTTCAACAAGCACAAACATAAAATTACACGGAATCGCGCGCGGCCGTGTCCGTGTTCCGCTTACATGCGGTTTGTCAAACGTAACTTCCGGTAGCCCGTTGCGCTCGTAATACCCGCGCGCAATCGGCCTCCATATAGCCGGCCGATTGTCGTTTCCCGCGGTGATATACGGCTTTCGTTTGTGCGCGTTCATGAAAGTATCGTCCGCCCTCGAAATTTCTCGAATTTCCGACGCTTTATTGCGACTCGCGATTCTGCGTTCACGTAACCGTGTCGTCGCCGTTTTGCGATAACTCGCCGCGGGAAAAAGCGTAAAAATTACAGCCAAGAAGAGGATCAAACTCGGTCACCGAGGCGAAGTACTGATAACGACGGTTCACTGTGATTAGCTGAGAAATTGGAGTCGTCGTGCATATCTTTCGCATTCATTTCAGATACGAATCGTACTCGCAGGAAATTTTGTGTTCAATGGAAGAAGCAATTCGTCTGATCTCTGATTTTGTTTCTGTTGCTCCACGTTTGAGGGAAATTTGGGTTTCGATAGTGGAATTAGTAATTCGTTAGGTGTATCTGAATATGGATAATGATAATTATAGTGATAGTATAAAGGTAAATAAGGATACATGTTTGGAGAGGTAACTTTATACTGGAGCTATTCATGTATTATGTTTACCTAAATGCTGTGAACATTATCGGTATTAGAGCGTAATAGAATTGTAATAGAAATATCTAATTAATAATAGTTTTGCCAAAAGTAGTTTGGATTTTCAGCAATGTTTGACAAAATTATTTTCACTCGTTTGGTAGTGCTAATATTGATAAAAGTGATTATGTCTTCTTCATAAGGGTAAAATAAAGAATCTGAGATCAGTCATTTTAGGTGAGGCGATAGTGTTATTATTAACATAGTATAATTAAAGAGTGACATTTGGAAATATTTTTCAGGGGTTTTTCCATTTCAAAATTATTTTCACACTTTTGGTAGTGCTAATATTGATATAAAAGTGATTGTCTTCTTCATAGGGGTAAGATAAAAGATCTGAGATCAGTCATTTTAGGTGAGGTGATAGTGTTATTATTAACACGTGGTATAGTTAAAGAGTGACATTTGTAAATATTTTCTAGGATTTCCCATTTCATTTATTACACATCTTTTTAATAAATTTCCAATTGTTATACCCATAAGGGTTAGGTTAATATATTTCTCCGTGGTATATTTAAAATCGTCTTGCATAAACAAATAATTCTTAATTATTCTTCAATTCTCATACTTTACCTAAGATCAGCGGCAATTTATGCCTATGTTTGTGCACGCTGAAATAACGTTTATCTGTTTCTGGGTGACGTAGATCTCATTCGCTTTGACGAGATTTAATTATGAAATATTAATTAGAGGAAAGCTTTTTCTTCTTTCTTAATTCGCTGCAGCAATACCCTCGCAGTAATAGAAGTAAGTGTACTCACGGATGCTAACAACTGCTGTAATTTATCGGTGCCTTAAATAAATTAATCGGCGCAAACTGAGAACCTCTATCCTAGAATAACGCAGGAGTTTCGAAGTCATTTCCGCGTTAGGTGTTGAAGCTATTCTTGAACGTGAAATAATATAGGAGTTTCGAAGTTACTTTCCTCGTCATGAAATACCGGGCAAGTTTCAAAGTTACTTTTCAACATAATGTAATGGTATTGCAGTTACTCTTACGTTAAGTACCAAAGTTACTCCGGAACGTATAAACAAACGTCCCTCCCGTGTATACCTGACTCGATATAACAGCTATAGTTGATCTTCCCTTTCGCGATTAATTTCCAAGCCCCATTTACTTTAACGTACTTCTTAACCAAAAAGAAGAACGTGTTAATATTGTAGGATTAATGTTAAATTAATCCTATGCTATCAGAGATCTGCGTGTCTAATAAACAACGACTCCTTTTTAATATAAACAGATTTATCGAAACTAAAATATTACACTGTGTTTCCCTCAATTCTCGTGATTAGGTGAGCTGGTGGTTGGATGGAGCGTGGGTCTGATTGGCCACGAGGGTTGAGCTAGGTTTGAGTCAAATTTTCTACCAATTTCGAAAAATTAATTATATTTACAGGTACCACGGAAGCAGAGTAATAATTGGTGAATTTTTGTACGTTCCTCGTATAGAGTC